AAAACTATAAAAAAAAATGACGCCAAAACGTCAACAAAAGAATGAATGTGTGGACTCTTTTAAAAAAATAAAAAAAAAAAAAAAAAAAAGACAAGAAAGATAAGAGTTTTATTTCCTGAATTGCACTAGTCTTACACTTCTGCTCATATCCGCCACGTAAATCTATGTATAATTGAAGTAATGACATGTTCTCAAAGTGGGAGCCGATTAAAACCTCAAACTCCATGACTAAAAGAAATTAAACATTTAAACGGTCGTTAACACAATTAAGAACAAGTTGTTTTAATGTAATCAAATGCTGAATAATTACGGTGACCCTGACTTTATTTGCCTGCTTTTTTGATCTATATATATAAAGCATTTAGTCATTGAAGGATTAAGCAGTTGTTAGATTTATAATTCATCATTAGATATTGAAAAGGGTCATCAACATGTTTTGAAGAATCCCAGTGATGTAATAACAGCTATGAATTTTCAATGATAATCATCAGACTGAACAACTTCAGAGGGCTATTGACTGAGCAAAAGGAAAGTGATAACACTTTAGCAGTCTACAAAATTATTTAATGCATGCAGTCAAATGCACCAACGGACAGTATGTTGAAGTCCATTTACATATATCTTATTGAAAACAAATGAATATTTTGGACATTTTGTCATAACGGACAGTTATTGCCCGAATACATTAAATGATAACTAATTACTGCTCGTGTACGGGCAATAAATTAGAATCAGGCAAAAACCATATGCAGCAAATACGATGACTCTGCATAAACATGTTCAAACTACAAAAACATTGAATTAAGTTACAAATAAAGTTAAGTATGGAAATTAATCAAATTGTTAACCTTTGCTGGTATTTCTTCTTCTAAAAGTATTCAATTAATTTACATAAGGGGGTAGAGCTCATTTTATAGAGTTTTATATACTACTCTCCTCCACCCATTTTACCGTCGATTTAAATGCAGGAATGCAAGGAATATTAATGCATGGTCAAGAAAATTGAACATTAAAATATGAATGAAGTAAAATGATACATAGCAGTATGTAAAATGAATAATTCTGTAACACAGCTGTTTTATTCTCCTACGACTTTAATTGATACTAGCTGCCAGAAGAAAGGATGTTGAATAATTCAAGATATGCAAGCATAATGTTTAAGTGCTCTTATACGTACACGATCGGCAAATGATTAGAATAAACATCGAATTCGTCGAAATGTTTCAAACTATTGTCGGTATTCGTAAGAATTTACATACGTAGAAATTAAGCGAACGGACGTGTACTAGTCATTATATGATAAACCTCACTGACTAAAACTACCAACAAATCTTCTTTTTGTATGATGGTAAACGAACATCACATTACCGTTTCTGAAGTTGGATCGAATTGCTACTGAAATTCACGTAGCATTAATTACCAAGAAATACCGTTTTTACTCAACGTTCAGCCGAAAAGTTTTTTCGGTTACATATTTGTTGATTTTCAAACTCTACAATCATAAGAGCTTATACCAGCACTTAAGTGTCATAGAATTCTAAATGAACGCAATATTGTAAAATGTTTATATTAATTTATTACCTCTCCTTGAAGATCCAGAATAATAATATCTAAAAAATATTCTGAAACTATGCTGAAGAACGACAATCGCTTCATTCATATTTGACCTGAATTTATATGCCTTCTTTTTAATTAATACGACATAAATTATCAATGGATCAAAAGATCCACATCTATGTAAGTCGAAAGGAAAATCATTATAGAAATTATTTTGGATTTTATGACACACAGGAAGGCTTTCAATATTAATTTACAGCATAGTAATGGTATCTACTTAATATAAAGGTTGTTTTACTGGAGTCCGCATAAACACTTGGTACGTATGTCCTGTATTATATGTTCATTCATTTCATGTCTTATTCACGTTTAAGGTTCCACGAGAAAATGGAATTACCGACATTTCAACAGAATCTTAATTCAATTTCAAAATTGGGGAAACTGGGGCATTATATTCACAAAAGATAAATATTTACGTGGCGTCCCATGAAAAAGATAATATGTATTCTGGGAGCGTCTTCTGCGTAATTCACGACACCTGTAATGTTAATATGGTCATTTAAAAGTAAGAAATGCCATGTTTCCAAAGTTTCAAAACAAAAAAAAAAAACAAAAAAAAAAAAAAAAAAAAAAAAAAAAAACATCAAACATGATGATATCGCACAAAAAACCAATGTCGTGATATTAAATTTTTTGTTTGAATCTTAAACTTCTTCAGTTATCATGTCTTTTATTCAGTAAATTGTATCATCTGGCATTAGCATCAAAGACATCAAACTTGATATCGCTCAAAAAACAATGTCGTGATATACGTTTTTGTTTGAATTTTAACCTTCTACAATTATCCTGTCACGTATCCATTAAGATTTATCATCTAGCTTTAGCACGTGCGAAACTATCTCGGATCTCTGCCATATGGTTTATTGTATAATCCTTTATTACACTGCAATATATTTCATACCTGTGGTATCATGTGATCACTGTCTGACTCAAACAAAATTGTATGCACATCTATACTTGGACACTTGAAAAATGAATCGTGAAAGTTTTAGGGTTTATCATTAATTGATCAACAGATCTGTGTGATTGTCCAACATACAGCGTTATTTTAATGACGTGCAATGTTGGTTCAATGACATGAAGAGTCAGTGAAATGACATAAAAAGCTAGCAAAATGGCATGAAATGTGAGTAAAATGACATGAAGAGTTTGTTTTAAATAGATAGCAAGTTGAATTACATATCAACAAAATATGAACAAAAGCAAAATTAACATGAGAATTTTTTTCAGTGTCCAAGGGGAATGAAACCATGTGTTCCGTAATGGAAAGTGTCTTCTGCTTCATCGACGACACCCGCCTTGTTAACCTTTGTCAATCCAAGTATGTAATGTTCCCAAATTAGAACAACAACGGAATCACCAAGCTTACAAATAAGCATAAAGCATTCAATACTTCAACTTATATCGTACTGGGGCATAAATTATTTCACAATGAGATCATTATGATGACAGTAAAGCTAACCAATACTATGCATAAACCTGCACCATGTATTGGTGATGCGGGGTTGTTGCTATTCAGAAATGGAAAATTCACAATAGAGAATTGAAATTGTCACATGTATCACAAAGATAGTTGGAAAGCGGTCCATGTTGGTATCGTTGTAGGAAAAAATCGAGATAAACGGCTGATGTAAAAGAGTCCGCTGTGATTTTAATTTTCCATTCAGGTGGGTACATGCAATGGACATGGTCAATTAATCTATTAACATCTAAAAGCAAGACGTCATTCAGATATACGAAAGTAAAATTTAAGGAATTGGCAAGGTTTTTGTGGTCTGTTTGGATAAATTAAGTCTCGTATGAAAACAAATCCAGGAGAGTGGCACAGTTAGTTAGATCCGTTGATGTATGGACTGTTCTCATTTGAGAACGTGACATTTCTGACTGGGACTGACCAAGGTTTACATGGCGGGTGTCGTTTAAGAAGAGGAAGACGCTTACTCTAATGGAACGCCTAGCCCTATCCTCCTAAGTACTTTTTCAGGAATTTCCATGCAAATCTGTCTTTTGTTCATATTTTGCTCCAGTTTAACAGAATTTGAGTTTGCCATGTTGGTATTTTCTTGATGTTTTTGGGTAAATAATTAGGTGAAAAAGCAATAAAAACAGTATATATGGATTCTTGTAAATTTCACGAATAAACGAGAGAGGTCCTTATCATAAATAGGCAACCTGAATCATTGTAATACAGAAGCCGATTTGCCTTAATTTCTTCTTTGGATAAATAAGAAGTGTAGATGGTAAATAGATTGCAGAAAAACACACAAAATGATAAAAATATACTGTGGTCATTTCGGCTACCCTTTCTTTAATGCTGGGTCATAGATTTTTTCTATAATCAGTTGACCATTTCGTCAAGCTATTTCCGACCTCAGTAATATATAGGATTATAATACAACCGAAAAGATGGTCGATTAGGTACCATCTTGCGCACAACGTACCTCAGTGCTAGTACGCTCCACACTTGTCATTTGTCTGATGAAGGTGTAGTCATCGAAACATCACACTCTAATCTTCAACTGGTTGTGTTATAAAACTTTCTATTCTATCGACATTACCAAACCGAAGAAAATGTTCCGAAATTTCTAAGGGATTACTTTTCATACACTATTTACACTATTGTCTCGTAGTTGATAAGACACGATTCAAAACGCATGGTTTTATCGTCGCGAATCGTAAAACAATAATTAAAAAAATCATAATATTTACGGTAATGAAGAAACAACCCTGTATTCGAAGAAAAAACAATTTAGAACAATAGTGTAGGCACAGATTAATAATGGTCGGTATGTAAAGTGTATTGGTCAACATTTAGAAAACCCAGACTGATTACCAAAAAACCTTATCTTCAACTTTACTTTTATCTCACACTTAACTTAAATAACGAATTTCATTTTGTGTGAAATTCAGGGGTAACGTTTAGCGTCATGAAATAGAACCGAAATCTGAGATGAAAAAACTATTGTCGTTTGCAAAATTCGCACTTCGTTCATAAAAAAAAGAAATGAGCAACAAATTCGAGACCGTATTTATGGAATTCCGTCAAATAAGTTATCATAATAAGATAAAGATAATTAACTTTTCTGTGAGAACAACATTTATTTAGTTTGTCATGATCCTTAACATCTGTGTAAATAGAAATGTATGTTTAACTCTTATACGCTAATGCATAATAAATTATCATGTATAAGGTAAAGCAAGGTCACGTTTGAGTTATTAAGGATGACTGTGACTAGTCCACGCACCTTGATTACAAATTGGACAGGGCTTAACACTGTACAGGAACAGACAGTTTTACCTGTCAGTATGTCGGTAACATGGCTTTAGGAGCAGGGGAGATGAAGTGGATCTGAGTTTTATACCTATATTTCATGTATTAGAAGATGTATTCAAGTAATATTTGGATCATTTATGTTATGATTTGTAATTCGTTTATGCTGACATCGTCACAAGAATCCACAGGTAAGTTTTCTCTGCATGTTCCTCAGTTGTAACCATGTTTTAAGATATATTACAGTGGAGTGTCAGAACCATGTAATTCGTGTCTTCACTGCCATACAAAGCTTGTAAAATTCTTTAAAGAGAAAACAAACGAGATATCTTGCCATTAAACAACACATTCTATATAATATAATCTGTTAACATTCTGAACAACACGAACTCACAAAATTCTTCTACGATCTAACATTTATGGTATCTAATAGAAATGAAGAAATTCATTTTTTTTCCCCATACGTTTTTTTTTTTTAAAGATTTTTAATTCTCTTTTCTCTGAATATTTGTAATCTCAGTGATAATGAATCATTTTATATTTGTAGATAACAGTGAAAACGTCACTGTCGAAATCCCGGATTATATTGAAAATTCAAAAGACTGCATTTTCCCTTTGAATTTCGAGTTAACACTAAAATTTCAAAATGGAAGTATTCTATCCATGCTCCTTACGAGGAACACTAACCTACATGTAAATGGACCATTATACGTGATAAGGAGGACACCCAAGGGAACTACAATGGTTATACAAGATAAACTACAAGAAATACAGGTTGGTAATTAATCAGTCTATCATGTCTGATAGCCATTTGATATGACAAATGTTACTTACATTTCCTCTTGAATTTTATTGTTTTGTTTTTTTCTTTTTCTGTTTTTTTTTTTCAGTATTCGATTTTATTGTAATTGTTTATTTTGGTCTTTTGAATAGCAACCGTTTCATTACAAGTGTGTGATAAAAACAGTCGGAATGGAGTATAAGTTTATTTGCCTTTATTTTCAATGTTCGCCTATGATTACAATCGGGTTGTTATGAAAAATAAATGATATGTTGACCATATATGGTTAATGGTTATCAGGTCTATATACGCTATAATATTTGATCTCACACATCAAATTATATGTATACATAAGTAATATTTGTATAAGGTAATACATGTAATGGTAGACGTACAGCCATGACGGTAGAACTTTTACTTCCTGATGGCCCCGGGTGACTTCAGGTGAATCATGATAGATAGGACTCAATTATAATACTAACACTATCATGGTATTAGTTCAAATTAGCATAGCTATATCTACAATGATTTTCGAACGAAATCAATTTTATTTCCTTTTGTAATAAATCCTTAGGAGTACAGATATACCACATCACTGCTAGCATTACATATTGTCAATGGCATGGAAATAATTCTCACTGGTGGTCTATATGCACAGGTTTTTTTTATTATTTCTTCTTCAATGTTATCTTTTGTTAGACATAGTAACAGTTCTCAATGGTTGTCGGTATGTAAGGTTATTTAGTTTTAAAGTGTTGCCCACTGATAAACACGGAAACAGTCCTCGGTGGCTGTCGGTATGTACAGTTATTTATTTTCTAAGTGTTGCCCACTGATAAACATGGAAACAGTCCTCGGTGGCTGTCGGTATGTACAGTTATTTATTTTCTAAGTGTTGCCCACTGATAAACATGGAAACAGCCCTCGGTGGCTGTCGGTATGTACAGTTATTTATTTTCTAAGTGTTGCCTACTGATAAACACGGAAACAGTCCTCGGTGGCTGTCGGTATGTACAGTTATTTATTTTCTAAGTGTTGCCTACTGATAGACATTAAAACAGCCCTCGGTGGCTGTCGGTATGTACAGTTATTTATTTTCTAAGTGTTGCCTACTGATAAACATGGAAACAGCCCTCGGTGGTAGTCAATATGTCTAGATTTTTAAAAATATTTTTAGCGTCACCTCATGTCGTTAGATATGGAAACAGCTCCCGATGGTTGTTGAAATGTATACAGTTTTGATCTTATATAAGGTATCAAAAGACTCGTATTTATTCAAACCAATTTTCATTCCTCAAGAAGGAGGAGATTTTTAGCCTTCTTTTCGTCAGTGGTTTACTATATGAATTATCAAAAACGTAAATGTTTTCCCTAGAATCAAAACATTTGGTAAAATTTACGATATTTTCCTACTACTGTAGATAAAACTTGAGAAGAAGAAACCACGTGACTATGACAAGCCTATAGCCCATCGGGGTGGAATGTTGACACGTCAAAAACAAATGTAAACAAAAATACTATCTTATGAGAAAGCTGGAATCAGATAGGTATTATTTATCATTATTATTCATTACCGTACATCAAAGGGAGAGCATCACGTAATTATACCGAAAAAAATTACGTTTCAATTTTACCTTTATAGAAATTTTGTTTGGAAAATTGTCATGTTTACGAGTACATGCTATGGAGAAAGGTGTACGTCTGTCACGTGATTAGGATAAGAACTAGTCTGCATTGAAATAATCACTCCATTTGAACATGTTTTGTTGATGAAGATAAGACGTAACTGATGTTATCTTCAGACGATTACAGCAGCAGCGATTGTCAAGCGTTACATACAGAGGCTACCAATTAAGTGTTTGTGAAAACGACGTCAGATATAGTGCCAGAATATCCGTATGCACCTTTCTATATTAGCAAGGGTAAAAGATCTTTCCGACAAGCATCTTAGTCCTCTCAAACAAATAACTTACTTCAATCCTGTCAAACACAGGCAATTATCTTAGTCCTGTCAAACACAGACAATCATATTAGTCCTCTCCAACCAACCATCTTACTTCAATCCTGTCAAACACAGACAATAATCTTAGTCCTGTCAAACACAGAAAATTATCTTGGTCCTCTCAATACAGACACACTGAATATTACATAAGTCCTGTCAAACACAGACAATTATCTTAGTCCTGTCAAACACAGACAATTATCTTAGTCCTGTCAAACACAGACAATTATCTTAGTCCTGTCAAACACAGACAATTATCTTAGTCCTGTCAAACACAGACAATCATCTTAGTCCTCTCCAACCAACCACTTACTTCCATCCTGTCAAACACAGACAATTATCTTTGTCCTGTCAGACTCATTTAATCAAAATATTCCCGTCAAACACCATTGGCAACAATACTCCTGTCAAACACCGGCAGCAACAATACACCCGTCAACCATCTGTAGCAACAATACTCCCGTTAAACATCTGTAGAAACAATACTCCCGTCAAACAACACAACAACAATACTCCCGTCAACCATCTGTAGCAGCAATACTTCCGTCAACCATCTGTAGCAACAATACTCCCGTTAAACATCTGTAGAAACAATACTCCCGTCAAACAACACAACAACAATACTCCCGTCAACCATCTGTAGCAGCAATACTTCCGTCAACCATCTGTAGAAGCAATACTCCCGTCAAACCACGGTAGCAACAATACTCCCGTCAAACAACACAACAACAATACTCCCGTCAACCATCTGTAGCAGCAATACTTCCGTCAACCATCTGCAGCAACAATACTCCCGTCAACCATCTGTAGAAACAATACTCCCTTCAAACCTCGGTAGCAACAATACTCTCGTCAAACAACACAACAACAATACTCCCGTCAAACATCGGTAGCAACAATACTCTCGTCAAACACCGGCAGCAACAATACTCGCGTCAAACCTCGGTAGCAACAATACTCCCGTCAAACATCTGTAGCAACAATACACTCGTCAAACATCGGCAGCAACAATACTCCCGTCAAACATCGACAGCAACAATACTCCCGTCAAACATCTGTAGCAGCAATACTCCCGTCAACCATCTGTAGCAGCAATACTCCCGTCAAACATCGATAGCAACAATACTCCCGTCAACCATCTGTAGCAGCAATACTCCCGTCAAACATCGATAGCAACAATACTCCCGTCAACCATCTGTAGCAACAATACTCCCGTCAACCATCTGTAGCAACAATACTTCCGTCAAACCTCAGTAGCAACAATACTCCCGTCAAACATCGACAGCAACAATACTCCCGTCAAACATCTGTAGCAACAATACTCCCGTCAAACACCGGTAGCAACAATACTCCCGTCAAACACCGGCAGCAACAATACTCCCGTCAAACATCGGCAGCAACAATACTCCCGTCAAACATCGGCAGCAACAATACTCCCGTCAACCATCTGTAGCAACAATTCACCCGTCAAACATCAGTATCAGCAATACTCCCGTCAAACATCGGCAGCAACAATACACCCGTCAAACATCGGCAGCAACAATTCATCCGTCAAACATCGGCAGCAACAATACTCCCGTCAAACATCTGTAGCAACAATACTCCCGTTAAACATCTGTAGCAACAATACTCCCGTCAAACATCGGTATATACTCCCATCAAACATCGTCTAGCATTGGGAGTATCCTGAATCATTTTCAGAACTATCAGTTCTGTATGTTTTTATAAAAAAACAAGTCAAATACACCGAATACAATTTGTCATTTGTAAGGGTTGTCCAAGGGGTCGTTAACAACCCAAGGGTATTATTTTTTTCCAATATCAAGATCTCTCAAAGTTACACGTCATTTTATTTTTACGATATGAAAGTTACAATCCTTGCTGCTGTTGCTGCCGGTGTATAGTTTGGACAGAACATATAAGATATATATCACAGAAGTTTAACCGATAATAAATATACCAGCTGACCTCAACAGGTGCCCCGGGGTATTCCTTGGTGTATAGTCAATGGAGGTCAGGTAGAAGGTCAAGTAAGTATACATCTGTCTTTGGTGACCCGCACGGACAGGTCAGTTCACTGACTGATCAGTGACCAGTAGTGTAACATAATGCCTAATTTGCTCCGATGTATAGCTGGAGGGGTTTTTAAGTAGCTACAGCAAAGATCACTTTGTCAGTGATCATAAACTCACTTCTGTCACGTAACTGACGGTACAGTGTCAACAAGACACCAAAACAAAACGAAATTCACCATGACTGGCTACCTGTAGCTAAAATCATCACAAAACTGGTTCCTTCCTTCTATGTTTTATCTACTGAAAATAGCGCTGCCGTAATATCTCCTGTCGATTTACAATAAAAGTAAAGAACGATCAGAAGGTCCGCAACAAAGTAAAGACGTTTTGTTAATCAGCAACAAAGTAAAGACGTTTTGTTAATCAACAACAAAGTAAAGACGTTTTGTTAATCAACAACAAAGTAAAGACGTTTTGTTAATCAACAACAAAGTAAAGACGTTTTGTTAATCAACAACAAAGTAAAGACGTCATTTCGGTCAGCAACAACATTACGGACGTTTAGTAAGCTAACAAACAAAACGAAAGTCTCAATGTAGGTCAGAAACATAGTTAAGGGTATTATGAATGTTAGCGACAAATTGAAGTCATTATCTGGGTTTAAAGAAAGAAAATTAACGAATTCGTATGTTGGAAAAAAATAATAATAAAAAAATGACGAGCGAGATGTATATCAGTGGCAATATTGAGGACGTCATGTATGTCAGTAACAATACTTAAGACGTCATCAATAACAAAATTAAGGACGTCATGTATATAGTAACAGAATTAAGGACGTCATGTTTATCAGTAACATAATTAAGGACGTCATGTTTATCAGTAACAAAATTAAGGACGTCATGTATATCAGTAACAAAATTAAGGACGTCATGTTTATCAGTAACATAATTAAGGACGTCATGTTTATCAGTAACAA